GTGCGGCGGAGGTGAAATACGGAACAGAGATTGTACATGGCGGTCAGAGGAGACATGGAGCTAATTATACTGAAGTTGTCATAACCCCCATCATGTGTCAGTGACAGCATACATAACCACCATCATGTGTCAGTGACAGCATTCATAACCCCCATCATGTGTCAGTGACAGCATTCATAACCCCCATCATGTGTCAGTGACAGCAATGCAATCATAACCCCCATCGTGTGTCAGTGACAGCAATCATAACCCCCATCATGTGTTAGTGATAGCAATCATAACCCGCATCATGTGTCAGTGAGGAGCAATCATAACCCCCCTCATGTGTCAGTGACAGCAATCATAACCCCCATCATGTGTCAGTGACAGCAATCATAATCCCATCATGTGTCAGTGACAGCAATCATAATCCCCATCATGTGTCAATGACAGCAATGCAATCATAACCCCCATCGTGTGTCAGTGGCAGTGCGGCTACACTACCCAATAGGGTCATTCTCTCCTCCCAGTGCTGGGAGTGCAGACAGTGTCCTGGTACCTGGCACCCCTCTGCCACTCTACAAGGTGCCCGGGACAGAGCGGAGAGCCAATGGGCTGCGTGTTGGGTGCCGGGGATACGGCGGGTATGTACCGGCACATCAATGACAACACGCACACACCGGAATCATCAATTTATTGGTTTTATATTTTAAAAAGGGGCGGGGCTTAGCTGTAACACACCCGGTGACCGGCCTGTTCCAGCTCATAGACTCCTCCCCCTCTGACCTTATCATAGCGCCATCCGCGTCCTCGCCACTTCTGTCACGTCCCCGCTGTGCGAATGTCCTGAGATGACTTATCTGTGGACACGGAACAGAAAATAGAAATTTTATCAGTCAGATCGCGCACGGGGCCGGTACATGGGAACGAGAGAGGAAGCCGAGTCAATGCTGTGAGATTCACACGGGGGCCCCACACGGACCCGGAGCCCTTCCGGGCCAACAGCAGGTCTGAAATCAGCGGAGTTCTCCCTATTCATTATTGTAGGGGCTCCGGGGGGGGCGGGGGATGGGACGACAATATTTGTTAAGGGGTCAGTTAGCTGTGATGTCGGGTTCCACTAACAGGAGCTCTTCCTCCAGGATTCCTAGCAAGGATCCATGCTGGGACTTGTAGTCCTCCAGCCACAGGTCCTCCAGAACTTTGGCCGGTAAGATGTAAAATAAATCCCTCCCCCCCCCCCATTCGCAGAGTAAGAGGTCCCGGCGGTCGGGAGAGTGAAGCGGCTAATGAGAAGCCGATTTGAGGGTCTGTGATTGAGAAGGTCAAAATCAACAGGTTTGTGCCCGGGGGGGATCGTGCCCAGCTGGTGCTACGCGGATGCTGCAGCAGTTTACGCGGTCAAGTGGCGCTCGTCTTGCGGGGAACGTCTGTTTGGAAAGGCTGCTGCGAGTGTCGCGGCATAATGTGCAGCTGTTTTCATCTCCCTTTAATAATAAAGCTCCAGCCGGCCCCGTTTCCTGCTCGTCGCACCGCCAGCGTTCCACGCCCGCCGCATCCTTTTGATAAGTACCCCGGGGCGCTGCGCCGATCAATAAATCATGTATCTGTGGCAGAGATAACAGATTGACATCATTACTGAGAATTAAAATGTAATTTCTATCTCGGAGGATCCGCCGGTGAGTATCAGACGCCGAGGATCCTTCCACATACTTCTCTCCTTAATAAAGTGTTCCGGACAAAGTACGTTCACCGATGCGCGCCGCCGACACCTGACCCGGGAGCTAAACTTTGTCTGAAATTCCGAAATACAACCAGTGAACCCTCACATGTCCTTTATTACCCTACACCGAGCCTGAGAACCCATCACCCAACCCAACGCGGGCACCATACACCCAATGCAACCTAGCTACCCTAAGCCCAATCCAATCCCTACACCCATTCGGAGTACCCATCACCCAACCCAACCTGGGTACCATAAGCCCAATTCAACGCAACCCAGATACCCTACACCCATTCTGAGTACCCATCACCCTTCCCAACCTGGGTACCCTACACCCTAAGACCAACCCAACCCAGGTACCCTACACCCAATGCAACCTAGCTACCCTAAGCCCAATCCAATCCCTACAACCATTCGGAGTACCCATCACCCAACCTGGGTACCCTAACTCCAACCTGGGTATCCTACACCCCATGACCAACCCAACCTGGGTACCATAAGTCCAACCTGGGTATCCTACACCCCATGACTAACCCAACCTGGGTACCATAAGCCCAATTCAACCCAACCCAGATACCCTACACTCATTCTGAGTACCCAACACCCTTCCCAACCTGGGTACCCTACACCCAATGCAACCTAGCTACCCTAAGCCCAATCCAACCAAACCCATGTACCCTACACCCAATCTGAGTACCCATCACCCAACCCAACCTGGCTACCCTACACCCTATGACCAACCCAACCTGGGTATCATGCATCCAATCCAACCCTGTTACCCTATACCCAACCCAATCCAACATGGATACCCTACACCCACCCTGAGTACCAACCCAGCCTTGGTACCTTACACCCAACCAAACCCTAGTGCTCTACACCCATCACTCAACCCAACCCTGGTATTCAACACCCAGCCCTGGTACCCAGCACCACAAATGGTGTGCCGCTCTCCGGCAGAGTGGGAGCAGAGGAGAAGAAGCCTCTGATAGGGGTAAGAACATATGACTGGAAGAATGTAAAATATCTCTGAGATAAAACCTCTTACTTTAAATTTGTCTGTTTATAACACCGCGAGTACACTGACCGTCTGTGTGACACCATGTGGTACTAAAGGATGAGACCGATATAGAGACTGGTGCAGTGGGAGCATTCAAATACCCACCC